GGATGTTTCCTATCAGTCACCAGTTAATTGTGGAGCTGCGCCCATTCGCCATGTGTCTCGAGCGCAAGGGTTCGAGCTACATACAGGTAGAGTGAGTATACGTAGGGTGCGAAACGTCGGGCCAATCCGATCCTTCCGCTATCAGACTCTTCCGCTCTTTGCCCGCGATGCGACCAAGTCGACCTGGGGTCTTGCCAGATCCCATTGCTCTCGACAACAGCAGAGCGGATTGCACAGCTCACAAAGCGGAACCAATGTCGCCCGGCGCGGGCAAACGGGCTTCGGAACGTGGTTCGATTAAGTGACTTTGCAGCGCCGGTGTCTTGGCAGTACGTGAACATTAGAAAAACGAGTGCCGAAATGAGCGGATCATGCGCAAGGAATTTTGCGGAGGCCTGCAGCACCAGCAAGCCTGATGTACACATGACGCTTTCTATTGATTAACTCCAATCGGCGGAGGTCGTCGATTTAGCATGTCTTGGCAAACAGCACACGAGCGTTGCGAAGCGATCGTGTGGTTTGCAAAGCGGAGAGCAGTGCTGACGTTGCCATTCCTATAAGGAGTCAAACAGACTCGATGCCGCGCCCATTTGTGGATTTGTGTCTATTCACCATCCTGCTTTTTTCACCCACGCTCAAGCAGAATTAGGCCGGTATGAATGTCAACGCCGAGAAGCAGCAAGAAGAGGGCGTGGCTACGCCTCAGTCGCCAGAAGCGCCTACCCCTACCAGCAGCAACGAGTCCAGCAAGCCAATCCGTCCTCCGCTTAACGAGAGCCGCACCGTCTCAAGGACAGGCGCACAGCTGATACATTGGGGTGACGATGATCCCGAACATCCTTTCAATTGGTCACTAGGTGAGTGAAGCGTGCCGTGCATGTCACCCGAGGACCTCGATCTCCGCTTATTCAGGCCGCTCGCCTCACTCGTCCACGCAAACGCCAGGCCGGAAATGGTTTGCGCTCGGAGTAGCTCTTCTCTTCAACAGCTCTACAGCCGTGAGTCCGCCAAATATTGCGTCGAGCCATCTTTTGCCTACTCATAGTCGTGCCCACCGTAGATGAACGCTACCGGCTACACCACGGCTCAGCAAGTCGGCGCAGCAGAGTTCAACACCAGTGAAACGGTCTGGTTGACGGGCACAACGGCCTATCTCGTGCCTGTGGCTCTCACACCATTGGTATTGGCGCCCTTATCAGAGATCCACGGTCGACGTCCGCTCTACCTGATTGCACTTTTTCTGTACACGATGATGTTCATCCCGCAAGCTTTGGCTCCGAACATTGGCGCTATTTTAGGCTCGAGGATAGTGCAAGGATGCGCCGGGTCGGTGGGCAACACCATGTGCGCGGGTAGCGTCGCGGACCTCTTCCCAAAATCTCAGCGAGCCATACCCATGGGCTTCTTTGTGCTGATCGTATTGTGAGTCTGGTGCTGTCGGGCGTATGACGCGGTCGATGTCTGACAAGGCTTCTGCCACCGATCTCCTAATAGCATGAGTCAGGGCATTGGCTCCACCGCATCCGGCTGGACTGTGCAGACCGTCGGCTGGAGATGGATGTGAGTGGCTGGTGAAAAGGTGTCTCGCCAGGTGAAATTGGCGCTGAACATCTGCCTGCCCCTCCTGCATGCAGCTTCTGGTGGCAGGGTGCTGTGGCTTTGGGCTCTTTGGCGATCATGCTGGCATTCATGGAGGAGACCAGAGAAGGTGTGCTACTCTCGAAGCGAGCTCAGCGCATAAGCAAAGAGCAGGGCATCAAGCACGCGACGGAAGATGAGGAGGAGAGGAAGTCCTTCATCCTGATGGCGTCGCGAAATCTTGGACGACCGATTCTTTTCTTTTTTACCGAGCCAATCGTTGCTTTCCTAGCTCTCTGGATCGGGTGAGTGGTACGCCGCGTGACGCTGCTGCTCGAATCCCAGGCTGACGGGATGCAGGTGCCCAAATCGAAAGGTTCTTGTGGGGCGTCGTTTTTCTTTCGCTCGAGGGTGTGTCGGACACCTTTATGGTGTATGGCTGGGACGCTGCTTTGATCAATACCGTCCTGCTGGCCATTGCCGTGGGCGGGCTAATCGGCTTCTTGACAAACCTGCACCAGGCCAAGCTGTACGATAGGGCAGCAGAAAGGGCAGATGGCAAGGCACCGGCAGAAGCCAGATTGTATTGGTCCATGCCGGGTGCCGTCTTCACCGTAGGCGGTCTGTTTTGGTACGGTTGGGGAGGGCAGGCAGACGTGCATCCCGCAGTGCCCATCCTTGGCTTGGTGCTGTTCTCCTGGGGCACTTACATTATCTACCTCGCGACGCTCAACTACATTTCGGACAGCTACGAAACATATGCAAGTAGTGGCATAGCTTGCCAAGCTCTGCTAAGGAACATCTTTGGAGGCACTTTTGGACTCTTTGCCCACGGCATGTACAGGAACCTCTCGCCGCCTATCGCTTCTACCGTACTAGCCTGCATATCCGCCTTCCTAGGCATCGCGCCTTTTGTCCTCTTCTTTTTCGGACCACATCTCCGTGCGCGCAGTCGCATCCACAAACGTCTCATGCGGGAAGAAGACGAGCGCAGAGAAAAATTCCACGGCTAGGCGATGCGAGACTGGACCAATGAATGACGCCTAAAATTCTAGCACGCGTTGCCTGGCTGCGTCGATTCGCACATATATGGCTCCTTCCTGGCTGTCTACATCGTGATGATGACGACGAATCAGCTGTGTGCAATGACGAGCACCGTAGTGCGTCGGATGATGCCCCAGATAGGCGAGCGATTATGCTGACGCTTGGTCAGCACAAATCCGCAGGAGTGGAAGGTCAGCCTGGAACGGGTCATCTCCGCTTTGAGGGCCACGCAGACGAGACTTCGCCGCGTGATTGTGACGATTCACTGTCACATCAGCCTGCGCAGCTGAGAGAACTCTGCTCGCGCCATGCCGGAGCTTCACCATGCAAGCGTGGCTCGTCTCAAGATCACGTTGTTTCCTCGTGCTGGACTCATGTACCTTTGTGCCTGACTCTCAACATCCATCACTCGAGCCACTCACGACCAGATCGCTCAATTGCTGCTCTGGTTCACGCTTAGTGCATGGACACAGGCGCAAGGAGCACGTGAGGTTGCTGCATAGAACTTCAGGGCTGGTCCATGCAGATTCAATGATTGCTTTGACCCGCCTGGCGATGCGCCGAATCATCACTCAGACTCGATCGATCGCACCGGCTAGCAATTCGTGATTGTACAGCATGGTCTCACCGTCGTGGCTGTTGATGCCCGCATGCGAATCTCTCTCCCCCTCAGATCCGCTGAAGAGAAGCGGCGTGCCTTGATGAGTCACTTATCGGCGAATCGAGATTTGTGCATGGAAATACTGTATTCACGTGATCGTGATTCATGCAGCAGCATTCAAGATTCTTAATTTCACGAGTTACGAGTTGAGTGCGAATATCCGCGCTCGAAGAAGTCTGACCGCTGGTCGCGAACCGCAAACACCATCAATATACAACCATCACTTGCTAATGGATTCATCAGCCTGCTCTATAGCTGCGTGCTGACCATGCACACCTTCATGCAGTTCCAACCGCTCTGCTCCGAGGTGCCATTTGTTCCTGAATCAGGTGAATCAGGCAAGGCTCAAGTGTTCACCGGTATGCGGGCGGGCGGGCGAGGACATGCGTTGTACATGTATGTATAGTCGTGAGTATGTATGTATGTTACATCAGCGGCGGATCATCCTGCTGAACAGGCCGGCACTGAGCACCGCCTCTCGTCCGCGGTGGCAGGAGATGAGGTGTCGCTCACCATTTTGAAACCCGTGTTCAAAGGCTGAGATTGGGAATAGCATCACGTGAATCAGATATTAGGTGTGCCTTTATCGAAGCTTAGGCAGTGGCACTCGATCTTGTTGCAGGTCACAATCGAGGCCGGCATGCAATCGTGAATTGCACTCACGCTTCACCATCATACTGATCAGTCAGTCTATGCTGCGGCGCTACATGCTATGTAGCTGTCATGCGCGGCTACAGGGATCGTCGCAATCGTTTGGATACGCGGTCTCTTCCAAGTGTGAAGTGCTCGCTTCGATGACTCACATATTGTGAGGAATGTTGATGAATCTCACACTACACAACTTGAGTCCGCCCGGCGAGGCGCTGTGAGTGCTTGGCGCTTGCTGCATCACACTACTACTGACTAACAGCACAGCTCCATCCATCACACGTACGTGTCCGATAGTCTGACTCGCGCGAATCGTGAATGGGTGGACATGAAGGATGGATCGGATGGCATGTGACCCGCCGGCGGCGCGCCTTCCCATCTATGCATCAGCACAGCATAGGTAGGACTAAATGATGGGATGGAGTGAATAAGCTCGTGCGGATCGTGGTGCTGATTAGTGCGAATCTACATTGATTGCCATTCGTGATTCAAAAGGGATCGCGGACCGCGGTTGCACCTTGGCGTTGCGCACACTCAGCAGATTGCTCGACCGCTCGAACAAGGCGCATAATCGACTTGCTGGCGACCGACCGATCGTCGTGCACTGATGGACGCTCGCTGTGGCGTGTACTATAGCTGTGTTGCCGCCGCAGGAAGGTGAGACGAGACGCTGACCAGTGCCACACACCTGCTTATCCATCATCACATGTCCCGTCCGCGCTGCGTGACGCGGCGGCACACCCGAGGAACGCGCTCGCGATCGCGCTTCTTCTCAGAGGTACAAAGTGATATGCTGTGTGGGTGTTTACCCTTCTCCGCCATAGTTTGACCTGTACGCGCCACCAGCTTATGGCACTGCTATCTGCTTGCTGTCATACGGTATACGTCTCGTGTTGCGTGCGAGGGCGATACTCGGTGCTCCTGAATGCGTTCACAGCTCAGCAGCCAGCCAGGCAGACCGACTCGACGCCCTTTCCGGTGAACATCCGCCTGCGTAGCCAAACAACTCCAGCTCGTGTTCAACCACCAGCCACCCACTCCACAAGCACTACCATTCGCCCCCTGTCTAGCCAGCGAGCCAAGTTCTCGTCCCTAGCTGCTACATCTGCCTCGGAAGCGCGAGCAGCCATCTCCTCAGCTGCTGTTCTTTTGCGCTCGGAACGGCCACCCGCGGATCTTTATTGTAGCTCTGAGCGGCTGCAGAGCGCTGTCCATCGTTTCCTCCTGGAAGGTGCGTTGACCGCTGAATTCGAAATCGCGATCCGGACTTCAGGCAGCAACTGCAGGCATCTGATCGCAGGTGGCTCAGTCAGAACGTGTTGAGCATCTGAGTGGAAGCTGGCTGGAACTGGCCGGCCAGACGCACGTCGGACTCATTTACACACCGGATGCCTTTTGATCGACGTATACAGGTGGCCGGAGTGAGCATGCATCAGGTCGAGGCAATCAAAGTGCAGCACCGCGCCTGGCCCCGAATCCTTAGCGCTGTTCGGGTGGGACCACGAGGTCCGCCAAGGTACAGGTGCTGTATCTGCAATCTATTCACGTCATCCGCAGCTGCACAAGACAACCCTCACGGCCTGGTGGCATTGCACAGGTGGAGGAGATGAATGGCAAAGGCTGGAAATTGCCATTGCCAACATGTGTTGGCCGCTCTTGTGGAGGGGAGAGAGAGATGCGTCCAAAGGGATGCGCTGGCAGACGACTTGCTCTCTTCCATCTGGCCGGTGCACAGGATCAGCCATACGAGCCGTTTCTTCAAGCGAGCTCGGCTGTGCAGAGAACGCAGAGTTGCTGCAAGAGTTCCAAGACACCGATCTGCTTGATGACTTACTTGACTGCTAGTATCGCCTTGCCCCTTTCCTCGCGCAGTCACCGCGCCACGACAAGCGCTTTTCGCCACACCTACGACCGACTCGATCACCTCCACCTTGGCTCGCTTTCTTCTTGCGAGCCAACAAAGAATAGATTGCGACGCTAGCGCTGGTGGACTGCAACGCGCTTGTGCTGCTGCTGCTGCTCTGTGCTGTTGCACCGCAGGCAACAACTGCACGCGGGCGGGCAAGAGCAAAAGGCGCCCACGTTGCAGCCGGCTTGTGCGACGATTTCGAACTGCCAAGTCGCGTTCCTGGCAGCAACTAGTCCATCATTGGGCAAGTCTTGCTGGTGCATTGGCAGGTCTAGACGAGAGGGAATGGACAAGGACCAGTCGGGCTCGACGATAAAGAAGAATACTTCCGCTTGTGAGTGGATAGAGCTGTCGAGCAGAACGTCACCGAAGGAGCGGTGCGTGTGTCAAGAGTCGTACGATATTCGGGCTTGATTAGATCTCGCCTTGGCGGAGTAACGTCCAATGCCACAGTAGTCGGCTTCCAGACTTCCGCACGCTTTCTGCCTCCCGTAGCGCTGGTTGTATACCGCCTAGACTTGGCCCTCGGCTGCTGGACAGCGACTAGGTACAGCGACAGCCTCTCGCACGTGCGTGCAGTTGCCCGCGTCCGGCATATTGTACCAGCAGAATTCGCAGCTTGTCAGCCCATGCGCCGAGGCTGCAGATCTTCGGCCGCGGGAGGCTTGTTAAGCTTCTATCCGTGACTTTGTCACCGACCAGCGTGCTGGCCGGTCCTAGCAATTCTGCGTCCTGCAGAGGTCGTGCGCTTCGAGCGTTCTCAAAGAGAGCAAGTCGCAAGTCCTTGCCCATCGTCGAGGTCTGCCCCGCTCACTTTCCCGGCCTGATAAGGGCTGCTCGATCACCTTTGGCTTGTGGGTCGGGATGACGTGAATTCCGGTCAATGCGACAGCTACAGGGGTGGATGGAGCTGCGCGCACAATCACTAATCGCCATAGGCGCATGGCGCAACGCCCCACCCGATGCAAGCGTAGGCAGGTCGGAGTGGAAGATGATACCTGTGCCTGTCTGTCGAATACGAAGTTGTCATGCAAGCAAATGCTCACACTCCGACAATGTGCGAGGCGGTGAAAGGCTATGCGAAAGCAGCGCCCAAATAAGCAAGCCTTTACGCGCTTCCTCGCTTCTCACCATGCGCTGCCAAAGGGGTTTGCCCGTTCGTCTTGCACACGCCACCCTGCTGGAGGAGGTACTCCTACTGTAGCCATGGCTGTAGGTAGTTCCTACGCGTGCAGGCGAACGCAGCTCCTTTTCAGCTGGCCTGCCCTGCGCAGCATCGTGCAGCTCCTCGAGAGCGTCGGCCCTCCGCAAACTACACCCAAAGAGCTGTAGATGCGGCTGCACGGAGCAAGCACATGCTTGGCCGGGAACCCAAATAGGCTTTTCGGACGCGTTCCAGCAGTTGCGTTGTTGTGATGTGCCTCAATCTCGCCGCGCGCGCCAACCTCCGCGTCTCGGCTGCTTTGAGCGCCCTGTGCCTCACGCATACCTACTGCCCAAGCGGGCTCGCATCTTGGCTCGAGTCGCGAAGCGGACCTCTTGACGCGCCGTCCACCATCCGATGTGTTGACTCGGGCTGGCGTAACCTTCACGCACCTTGTGCTAATACCCTCTTCATGCCCCCAACTCTCTCTGTTCACTTCCGCTGAAGAATTCACTGCACAGCTCACGGAACGGAACGATTATCGGAGCAGACTTGGCGGGGTGTGCTGCACAAGACTGGATCTCTCCACATCCCGTCTCCGTAGCGTTGACAAGATCTTCTCGGCTTGCCTGAGAGCGACGCTCACTCACACCGCGAAGATGTCTCAGTACGATCAGCGCTTCTCCGCATCATCCCTTGCGGGGCCCAGCAACGGCAGCGGTCGCGATGCGAATGGATCTTTCGACGCGTCGCACCTCGACCCGAATAGTCAGAGGAGCTCGTCAAATAATATGAGAGTTGAGCCGGGCGCACGCCACGCTTCCAAGCAGGTGCTTGCCCAGACTGCGCTTAGATCCCCCTTTGAAGAGGCGACAGCCAGGACGCGCCCTCACCCTCGTGACACCATGTCCACTTATTCACGCGCTTCCATCGCGCAGTCACTCGACGACGAGGCACTCGCTTCGCGGGCTCCAGCGTCGCAGCGAACGCTGCATCCTGCTGAAGCAGGCTCCGGCTCCGTCGATCGGAATTCCGCTTTGGGCGATGAGCCTCGCTCTCGAAGGGCCCCTCCGACGAGCGAAACCTTGCGCTCGACCGGCGCAAACTACGACTTGCCAAGATCCTCCTTGGCTGGACATTCTCAAGCTTCGCAAACATCTGGCATCGGCCCGCGAGGGAACGCACTAAACGTCCGTGACTTTGCGATGGGTCCCTACGATTCGCGGACACGGGTTGCGCCCGCTGCTCACGACGTCCACGGAAGCGCTGATCGGACGAGGGTATACGGCTTGGCTCGCGATCTGCGAGGAGTATCTCCAGACAGTGCCCATCTACCCCTCTCGATGGGGGGCAGTGATTATGGGTCCCATCCAACAGCCGCCGGAGCTGTAGTTGGCCAATCTGCGACGAGTGTAGCCAGCAATGGGTTCAGCGTAGAGATCTTTGCCCCCAGCTTCGATCATCGAGGTTATCCAATCTACTCGGGCAGAGCTGCCATGATCCGAGGCAGGATACGCATGCATGCGAGCGAGAGCTGCGAAGTCATCGTCAAGGTGAGTGGGCAGTCTGTGCGGCTCGTAGGCGAGGTCTGGGACTGACGCTTGCGTGAAAACGCTCCATGTCTTTGCAGCTTTGGGCGTACACGTCTCAAGGGTCTCCTGCGGCTATCTGGGACGGTATCGCTTTGTTGCCTCCAGATCAAGGCAGCGAGACTCGAGTATTTGAAGTTTTCGACACCGTCAAGACTGATGCGCCTGGCGCACGCCTCCGGCCCCGTCCTGCTGCGCCTGGCGAGCAACCCTCCGACCATTTCCCGGCGACTGATGATTTGGTTCTGGAGCTGCCCTTCGAGACGCAAATGCCACAAGGTACTGCGACAAGATGGAGGGACGGCGAAACGCAGGTCGTGCCAGTCGCCATGCCTCCAAGCTTCGAAATGTCTAGCGAGTCGGATGCGAAGAAGAGGGCAGACGATCGAGCTACCGAAAAGGAGATGGCCGAGAGATTAAAGCACGGGACGGTGACTTCATCCGCAGTTAGCGTCAGGTCAAAGATGACGCTAGGCTTTGGCAGTGCTGGCGGATCGGTCGCGAACTCTGTGAGAGAGGCGCTGGAGAAGGGTTTTGGGGAAGTGTATAGAATTGGTTGCTTCTACTCCCTCAGCTTCACACTGCAACGGCAAGGGGACCCGGAGAAGGAGTCGAAGTTCGGGAAGCTGGTGGGCAAGAAGGTCAAGAAGGAAAAGCGGCCATACGATACGTGAGTCTCGTTCAGTTACAAGGCTGATATGCGATTGACATGGCTTCTATGCATCACGACCGCTCGGCTGACCGTCGTATGACCGGTCCTTTCACAGCATCACGATCCCGTTCCTGTTCCTGGGAGAACCGTCCGCCCTTCGTTTGCCACCTCAGAGCCTGCCAGACGCTCTACCGAGCGAGATATTCTTCAGGGCTAATACCCGCGTGGCTGAAGACTGGATCATTGCCCAAGCCACAGCAAAATGGAGCGGCAGTCTTATTCGCACCGCTAAGCGCAGCGTAGAGCTTGAGGTGCGTTGTATCGACTTGGTGGTGGAAATCCTGATCCCTGCTGAGTCTCGCGTCTTCAACGCATTCACAGCTGCACATGTATGGAGTCGAGGGGCAGCCGCCCGTCCTACATGCGCCCTCTGCGTTCCCCATTTTGATAGTGATTCGACCAAATGATCCTCACCTTTTACCGCGACCTAGGGAATCGACCAACTCTCCAAGCATGAGCATCAGTGCCTCTTGGAATTCGGCGGCAGGGTCTCCAGTCCCTTCGCATACTCACAGTCCGGGGGCTTCGATACAGGGAATGCCTTTGCCACCTCCTGCATCCGGCCTGCCGTCTTCCATTCACGACGCGCTCGGCGAGCAACAAGAGCGAATCGACGACGTCGAGAGCACTTCAAATGACGGCCTTGTGTCGCGTTTCATGCGATCGTCACTGAATCTCACTCGCGCACCCTCAGGACATTCGAGCGCACAGAACCCGATGCCGACTTCACGCAGCTCTGCCAGCATTGCTAGTCCATCGACAGGCGCCTCCCATCGAAGCAGCACCTCCAAGCAAATCACAAAGCAACGCTCCACCGCGAGTCTTGCGAGTGCATTCGGCAAGCGGAGGCCGTACACTGCTCCTACAAGCTCTCGAGGATCTCTTTCGCCGCCAGGTTCGTCTACGGTGGTGCCGGAGCGCAGCGATGGGCTGGACCTAGCAAAGTTGGTGCGCGTGTCGCTATTGCAGACCACCTACTGCACGGCAACAGGACCTTCTGATGTGCCACGAGTGAGACGAAAAGTCATCTCCTTGGCAGAAGTCGAGGAGATAGATCCAGCCACTGTAGTCGGCGGACCTGCGAGCCCTCCGCTTGACCTCGGATTGGGCGAAGGCGAGACCACTGGAGCTGCGGCTTCGAGAGCTTTGATCGCACACGCCAAGACTACTGGGGTTCGTGTCCTTCGTGGGGTCATCAAGGTTAGCGGCGACACAACCCCGGGATTCAGGTGCCAAGGTATCGAAGTGAAGTACGCATTAAAGATCGATCTGCTACCTTTCTCGGCAAAGCATTCCAACAAGAGACCGGCGAGCGGCGGCGCCGGAACGGCATCGAGCATCTCGGATGCTTTGAGAAGCATAAGCGAGACCGCACGACCCTCGTTCTCCTCTAGAAGAGAAGCTTCGCAGTCATATTTCGATCGCGGGAACCCGTCCGATAGCGATCCTAATTCGACACCACGCACGCCGCCAAACTACCCAAGATCTTCACACCTCGCGGGCGGACAAGCGGCATCCCCGCCACTGCCACCTCTTCCGCCGCAGCATCGCGGATCGCCGGGTACGCTGGGCAGCCCGCAAATGAGCGATATTCGCTCTTACGTTGGTGGTTCCGGGCAATCGCATGCCGTGGGCGATAGCGTGTACGGGTAAGTCCTGCAGACAGAGCTCGCCGCGTTTGTTTGCGCTCAGGCTGACAACCGCTTTCTCACCATGCTTGTAGGGATGATGGCCAGCTCGTCGGCAAGATTGATAAGAGCACTGGTGCTTTGTGGCAAGATGTTCGCTTGGTACGCGCCCACGCCATGTACTCTGGTGGACGTGTCAACCGATGAAGAGAGCATCATCAATGAGGCGCTCGATGGCGGGGATGCCACGCTATCTTCCACTGGACAAATGTTGAGCCACCCCTTTCCGATGAAATACCCTGCAATGTATGCTCCATGTGCGAGATCACGAGGGGCGTGCCAGTCTGAGCTTGGGAATAGGCGATGAGCGTTTTGTGTGTGATGTGATTGTGGGGATTTGGCTGGCGAGGTGCCCTCCATACTCGTTGACTGCATGCATGCATGCAAGCCCATGCTCATGCCTATCCAGATGACAAGAACGTCAAGCCGCGGTACGCTGCAAGGGACTGTGGTCCGTGCATGCGCGCGCCGTGCACCTCCGTCTATGCGCGGAGCGGCCAACTCGCTGGCTGGCATTCGTGACTGTTGTGTTGTACCGCATTTCAGAGCGTCACTTTCTTGGCGGCGACCTTGGCGCGCTTCCGAGCTTCTTGCTACCATCCACCTGCGCCTGCAGAACTGGCACGGCATCTCAATCACTTGGTCAACTCATCCGTCGTCCGCATCGATCCGGCACCAGGTATAATTGGTTGACATCATGGCAGCACCGGTACTGCTCGTGCGACGTCCATCACCTGAACTGGCCAAAGGCTTGCTCACACACATCAGCGATGATCGAGCATCGCTATCCAATGGGCTAGCTTCGCAGCAGTGGCAGGAGTACACTGACGTCTTTCGAGCGCATGGCTGGGACGTTCGAGAGGTACAAGCAGCGGACGAGTGCCCGGATGGAGTTTTCATCGAGGACGCCCTACTATGGCTGACCGATTTCAGTGAGAAGGCGGATCAAGGCGCTGCAATCATCCTCACGAACACGCCTGCACCATCCCGCGCCAAGGAGCTCTCTACGGCACAAGCTTGCGCAAAGACGATCGCTACTGCCCATGGTGCCAAGCTGTACAGCCTGAAAGAGATTGGAGGAAGCGAAGCTCACCTCGAGGGTGGAGACGTGCTCAAAGTTGGACGCGTTGTCTACGTCAACTCTGGTGGTCATCGGACAAACGAGGCGGGGATTTGTGCGCTGAGAAGTATTGCAGAGCCTATAGGATATTCCGTCGTCGGCATTCCGATTCAAGGTGCTTTGCATCTCAGTGAGTAGGGCCGCATACACCTCAGCTAGACGCTAGCAGCCTGTTCACGTCCATCCTTGGGATCGTGCAGAGAGTGCAGTGACGGCACTGCCTGATGGCACCGTCATCGGTCACATGCCTGGCTTGCAAGCGTTCTTCAAGCCATATCTGCAAGTCCCGGAGGTGCGTTCGATGCTTGTAAGGTCCGAGTCGTGATTTGCACACTTGGAATGTCCTCACCTCGTGTCTGTCTCCAACGCAGCCCGAAGGGGTGGCTGTGGTGCATCTGAGACCTTACGAGGCGCTCGCAAGTGCGCACGACGACCAAGCGGAGGCTCATTTGGTCATGTCTTCGTCAGCGCCGAGGACCACAGCGCTGCTGGAAAGCTTGGGGTGGAAAGTGACCACGACAGATGTGACCGAGTTCGAGGTGAGATAGAGCCTGTTTACCCAAAGCGAAATCGCGGCACGCAAAATAGGACGCGCGCTGAATCCAATGCACTCCCGTCTGAATCATCTCCACGCATCGCTGGGTAGAAGCTGGAGGGATGGTGAGTGTGGAGGGTCGCCGTGGCTGGTTCTGTCGCGCAGCTAACCAAGCTTTGACGGCACGGACGGAATGCACAGCGTGACCTGCCTATCCGTACGCTGTCGACCAGGCTCGCGCAGCTAGATGTGGCAAGGAAGGTCGTGATAGCGCATGTCAACGGGAAATGGGTGCCCCTGCTTCCCATAATCTTGCGGTGGCTCCCGCGTGCATCGAAGAGCAATTAGTCATCAGAGTGGAATACAAGAGGCCTACAGCGGCAGGGAGAGGACTCTTTACTTGACTTCTTTAGGCGGCGCGTGGAATCTGCTTCTCTCAGGCAAGCAGCTGCACCTGTGCTCATGCTCCATGGACAGCTTCCGACCCTTGGCTCTGACGCTCGTTCTTGGCATGGATGTAGAGAGGTGAGGTGAGGTTCGCTGTAAAGTAGTAGTAATTAGTGACGAGTGTTGCGCGCGTCAGCTTCAGTCATTCACGATTGCATGCAAGCGCGGTTAGTGGATGGACCGCCAGAATTGAGTGGGGCACATGCGGCGTGCACGCTCGATCGCCCATCCGTGCGGGAAACCAACGTTCATGCACGCCCAACGCCCAGGTGCATGCATTCATGCATGCATCCCGCATGTCTGGTCTGCTTCTCGATTCTCACCGATACCGCGTACGCGCATGCAAACATGTGGCATCCCGGCGCACCACGTCGCAGCTAGAGCAGCCCGGCCGGCTCACTCATCATCAGGTACAAGCGAAGCACTTGCATCGCACGTCCACCAGGTCCTCTCTCCTAGCTGCCTCTATATGCACGCCCGCATTGGAGATGCTGCTGCCACGGCCGGGCACCCGATCGTCTCCTCCTCTGCCCTTCATGCGAGCAGTGATCAGCGCTCCCCCTTTAGCTGCCGTGATGCTCGCCAAGCATCTTCAACGAGCACGAAGAAAGAGGTAAGAGAGAGGGAGAGATGTGTATAAAGCCATCGTGTCTCGCTCTTCATCTTCCTTTGCGATCCCTTTTTCATGTCCCATTGCCCGTCTCTGCTCTTGTATCTTTGACTTTTCTGCACCCGTCATCTCACTTCTCTCGCTGTGCGACATATCCCACGACCTGCTACTGGACTAGCCTAAGCATCCCTACTCGACTCTTTCTCGCAGCTTCGATAGCTCCTCCCTTTGCTCGAAATCGCTTGCGCTCAGGTCGCACTCCGTTTTCGACGTTCACATCTCCCCACAGGACCAGCATCACCTTCCACGCTATACAAACAATTCTTCTGTGAAGATGCCTCACGTTGCTGCTCGCACCATCTCGACTGCCTCCTACCCTGCTGGCACTCTGGCTCATGCAGCCCTGCTACAAAGAATGAGGCGGGACGACGCTCCCAAGTGCGTTCCCGGGCCTTTGGGATACGAGACCACAAACGATGACGACAAATTTCCTTCGTGCTCTACGAGCGTGTGAGTGATCATTGCCTAGTCTGCGAGGATGCATGCCGTTGACAAGTATGCTGCTCCTGCGATCCATTTGTAGACCCGAGATCACGCGCTCGTGCTGTGCGCAAGGCACACTCCTGACCGACCTAGCCGCCGTCCCTACCAACGGCATCGCGTGCATTCCGATCGCTTCGCTTAGCGCCACCTCTGCGCAATCGGATCTAGACGCGGCTTGGAAAGCGTTCGAGGATTGCGCACGCAAAGCGCACGAGGACATTTGTCCAGCCGGCACGGGTTTCGATGTGCAGTGCAACAAGCGAAAACCCGACGATGCGGCCGCTGCTGCTGCCGCTCCTTCTTCGACTTTGCAAGGGGATAAGGAGGAGGAGGAGGAGGA